AACATGTCCTCAGTACGATCAAGCACCGATTTTGCATGCTACACGCAGTCCTGTGCATTAGAAGCCACCTACCTTCAGGTTAAACTCCATGAATGGCAATAAAATATTTTAAATATGAATTTGCACCTATGCATTTAAAATACAGCATTTGTTTTTTGTGAATCTACCAATTCCACAAATTGTCTTATAATAACTAAAGGCACTTCTTTAAAAATTTGCAAAATAACACAGTTTTTAGTCTTTCTCAGCTTTACTCACCTTCTGACTTGGTTTTGTCTCTTTGGGCTGGGTCTTTCTCAAAGAAGTAATACCGTCTTCAGTAATAATCATCACTTCTTTTGATTTTATGGTTTTTGAGATGAGTGTTTCTGACATATATTGCATAATGACCACTGAGGTTTTCACTGAGCTGAAGGATGATCTTGTAATCACTAGAAATGTTTCCTTTGCAGAAGGAATCCATTCATAGCAAGATTAGGGCATAGAACTTGTTCAACTTAGCAGTTTATGGTTCCTGACTGTAGGGTTTGCTGTTTTATTAGGATAGATGCGAGGGAGGAATGGTCCTTCTCTTTTACCTCCCAGGGTATTTTTTTTATATTTCTCTTTAGTATTGCTCTTCTTTTCTCTGATTTAGAATATTTGTGAATGTACTTCCCTGACTACTTTGTGTCTTTATGTGTCAGCAGAGTGGTTTTATTCATCTTATTCATGAGCATTTAGCACAGAAACTTCCCATGAACAGATTTGGTGTTGAGTTACATCAGCTTTGTGTTGATGGTAAAGAGAGGAACATCTCAGTACCGCTCTGGGGAGACTTACCTACTAAATAAGACAGCCCTTTTGGAAAGAGATAGTTCCGTCACTTAAGCCCAAAGATGAGCCTTTCAGGGACTGTCCAGTGTTCTTTCCAGTTTACTAAAGAACATCAGAACCAGGATTCTTAAACTGGGCATGATGGAGTGTGGGGCATGCGAATCCCTTAAAATTGCAGGCAAACATTTTGTAAATCGATGTATTTTCCCGGCAGGCAGATTAGAATTCACAGGTTTATAAAAGGAAACCAGTTAAACAGTTAAACGTTATGGACAGGGACGTTAGAAAGTATTTTACTCATTGGATTCCTTTAGAAATTGCTGGGAGTCTTGTGACGTTCCTGTTCGGGGTCTGACTCCGTCAGAATATCTCCATAGGCGCCCCAGCTGCTCTCCTTCCTTGCCACTGGCCAGGCGTCTCAGTTTATACAACGAGAGAAGATGGATTATTACCTGAGTAGACAGGATTATCGGGAGAATCAAGTGAGACACTCCTTATGAAGTGCCTGGCTTTGCACTAATGTGAAATGGTGGTGGGGACCCCGCCTCCTTGACCCAGGAGGAAGACACTAGAAATTCTCGGGACTATTCCTTCCTAAGGGAGCCTGTGGCTGCCCCCTGTGCAGGAGAATGTGCCTGTCCCCAGCGTGGGGACGACTCGGCTCTCCCCTCCTTCACTGAATGCCCTGACCCAACACCACCTCACGGCCAAGTCAGCCCCTGGTGGTCAGAGGGCTGGGAGGGGGCCCAAGGGACCGCAGCCTTGTTCTCCCTCCCAGGAAGCAATCGTCGGAGCACAATGGAATGACTGCAGATACGGAAGGAGAGCTCTGTAGATCCGGGAGGCGAGAGTTGGTAGGGGTAGGGCAGGTGGTATTAGAGTATAAGATGAAAGTTTACATATAAGGAGACTCACACCTAACATTCATTTATTTCCAAGTGCACCTTTTTTCTTTAGAAATCACTTTTGGGGCCAGTGCCCCTCATTAGCTGACAGCTACTCTCCCAGGCTTCACTGCATCCCTGGCGCTCTCCCCTCTCCGCTGCGCTCCACCCTTCAGTGGTAGCTGCCGCTCTTTCCCCGACTCTGCCTCTTGCAGGTGTTGGGATTATGTGCTGATGTCATGAAAGGTCCTGTCCCTCAGGATAGTGCTAGAATACATTCTGTTCATCCAAGGTTTGAAATTACTCAAAGGCAAAACCATTTGCCCTTCTTGCTTGCTATCTATCTATATGCAGATGTTTGTAGAGGAAGGTGATGCATTTTCCCCCCACTCCTTTTCTGCCTGTAGTTCTTGTTCTTTCTTGAGTAAATTTTAATTCATACATTACAAAGAAATTATCTGTTTCATTCCAGATTTTCAAATTTATTCATGAAATATTGTGATCTTTTCTATTTGTATTTAGAAAATTGTCTATAATTTTCTTTCTTTATTGCTATATTTGCAAATTAGTGTGTTGCCTGTTTTTTCTTGATTATAGTAACTGGAAGTTGTCATATAAAAAGATATATTTCTCATCTTAATAATTTTCCGTTATGCATGTATCTTTAACTTTTGCTTCGCTTTTCTTTTCTTTTTTTTTTTAAGATTTTATGTATTTGACAGAGAGAGCGAGAGAGGGAACACAAGCAGGGGGAGAGGGAGAGGGAGAAGCAGGCCTCCCGAGGAGCAGGGAGCCTGATGTGGGGCTCGATCCCAGGATCCTAGAACCATGACCTGAGCCGAAGGCAGACGCTTAACGACTGAGCCACCTAGGTGCCCTTGCTTCGCTTTTCTTAGGTTTCCTTTTTCCTTCCTTCCTAGCTTGTGGGTTGAACACTTAACATTTCTTTATTTTTAGTTTTATTTTTTGTTTGGCTTGGTAATGAAAATATATCATGCTGTGAGTTTTCCTCTGAGTAAATCTTTGGCTGTACTGTGTAGCTTTTGCTGTATGGGCAGAGCTCAGAGATGCTGTGGGTTTGGTTGCAGACCACTGCAGTAAAGCAGTGCTGCATAATGAAACTAGACGCATGGTTTTTTTGGTCTTCAAGTGCATATAAAAGTTATGCTTTAAAAAAAAGTTACGTTTATACTGTAGTCTACTAAGTGTGCAATAATAGCACTTTATCTAAAAAAGCAGTATACATACTTCAATTAAAAAATACTTTATTGCTGATAATTGCTAACCATCATCTGGACTTTGAGCAAGCTGTAACGCTTTTGCTGGCGGAGGGTCTTGCCTCCATGTTGATGGCTGCTGACTGCTGAGGGTGGCGGTTGCTGCAGGTTGGGGTGGCTATGGCAGTTTCTTAAAACAACATTGATGTTTGCTGCATTGATTGACTTTTCCTTTCACGAGCAGTTTCTCTGCAGCATGCCATGCTGTTTGATAGTATTTTACCCAGTTGGAGTCAGTCCTCTCAAACCCTGTCGCTGCCTTATCAACTAAGTGCATGTCATATTCTCAATCCTTTGCTGTCATTTCAACAGTCTTCACAGCATCTTCACCAGGAGTAGATCCCATCTCAAGAAACCAGTTTCTTTGCTCATCCATGAAGAGCAACTCTTCATCTGTTAAGTCATGAGATTGCAGTGATTCAGTCCCATCTTCAGAGTCCACTTCTCGCTCTAGTTCTCTTTCTGTTTCCACCACCCTGAAGTCTTGAAACCCTCAGTGTCATCCATGAGGGTTGGAATCAACTTTTTCCAGACTCCCTGTTCGTGTTGATAATTTTGACCTTTTCCCATGAATCATGAATGTTCTTGGTGGCATCTGGAATGGGTGGATCCTTTCCAGAAGGTTTTCACTTGACTTTGCCCGGATCCATCAGAGGAATCACCACCTATGGCAGCTATAGTCTTATGAAATGTATTAAATCATAAGACTTGAAAGTCCGAATGATTCTTTCCTCCTTGGGCTGCAGAGTGGATGTTGTTAACAGGAAGACGCTATGAATCTTACTGCACATCTCCACCAGAGCTCCTGGGTGACCAGGTGCATCATCAGTGAGCAGTAATATTTTAACAGGAATCCTTTGTTGTGAGTAGTATGTCTCAACAGTGGACTTAAAATGTTAAATAAACCATGTTGTAAATAGTTGTGCTATCTCGTTCAGGTTTGGTTGTTTCATGTAGAGAGGACAGCAGAGTAGATTTGGCAAATTCTTCAGGGCCCTGGGATTTTCGGAATAGTCACTGAGCACGGGCTTCACCTTCAAGCCACCAGCTGCATTTGCCCCTAACAAGAGACCCAGACTGGACTTTGAAGCTTTGTAGCCAGCATTGAGTTCTCCTCCTTGGCTGCGAGGGTCCAGTGTGGCATCTCCTTCCAGCAGAAAGCTGTTTCACCCAAATTGAAAATTTGTTGTTGAGTGCAGCCACCATCATTAATGATCTCAGCAAAACTTTGGGATAACTTGATGCATTTCTACATCATCACTTGCTGCTTCATCTTGTACTTTTACTTAAGGAGACGACTTCTTTCCTTAAACCTCATGAACCTACCTCTCTGCTAGCTTCAGACTTTTCTTCTGCAGCTCTCAGCTTTTGTCAAGTTGAAGAGAGTTAGGGCCTTGCTCTGGATGAGGTTTTGGCTTATAGAAGTGTTTCTCTTTTGATTTTCTATCCAGACCGCTCAAACTCTCCATACTGCTAATCTGCCATAAGGCTGTTTTCCTTTCTTATCTTTCATGTATTCACTGGAGTAACATATTTAATTTCCTTCAGGAAGGTTCCTTTTGCATTCACAACTTGGCTTACTGGCACAAGAGACCAAGCTTTAAGGCTGTCTTGGCTTTTGACATGCCTTCTTTGCTAAGCTTAATGATTTCTTGCTTTTGATTAAAAGTGAGAGACGTGCCGACTCTTTTAATCACTTGAACAGTGAGAGGCTGTCGTAGGGTTATTAATTGGCCTAATGTCAATATTGTTGCGTCTCAGAGAGTAGGGAGGCCGGGGGGGACAGGGGACTGGCAAGTTGGTGGAACTGCCAGACCAGACCACTTTTACTTGTTATGCCCCTCCTCTTATATGGGCGTGGCTCGTGATGCCCCCAAACAGCGCCGTGAGTAACATCAAAGATCACTGGTCACAGATCTCCATAAGAAATAAGATAATAATGAGAAAGTTTGAAATTTTGTGAGGATTACCAAAATATGACACACAGACATGGAGGGAGCCAGTGCTGTTGGTAAAACGGCGCCGAGATTCTCACTCAAGACAGGGCTGCCACAGACCTTCAGTCGGGAAGACTGTGGTATCTGCGAAGTACAGAGTACGAGGGACGCCTTTATGCAGTGTTTCCAACATCATTTTTGGCTGAAGTGTGAAGATTTTGATTTTTTTTTTCCCTTTGATCTTAAGATTTGGTCCAGTAATTTTTAGTTGATTTGTTATTTTTTTTCTTTGTGCTGTTTCCAGCACAACTTAATTTTTAGTTGATTTTTGTGTGTAGGGGCCTCTCTCCTACTTCAGACGTGTTTCCAGCACTAGAAGAATTCCCTTGCCCTGGAGCGCTTTTGCCCTCCTCTGGGGGCCCGGAATGGGGGCCCGGGTTCTCTTCCCTCTTCCCTGTCCTCGTCAGGGTGATCGCTTCATTCTCTCTAGATGTGAGTGATTCCCTTTCTACCGTGGTAGCCTTTGCTTTAGAAACCATATTCTTTTTTAAGATTTTATTTGAGAGAGAGGGCACACACGCATGCGTGGGGAGGAGGGGCAGAGGGAGAATCTTCAGGCAGACTCCCCACTGAGCACGGAGCTCAACTCAGGCCTCCATCCCAGGACCCTGAGATCATGACCTGAGCCAAAATCAAGAGTTGGATGCTGACTGAGCCATGCAGGCATCTCCACCTGCCCCCCCGCCCCCCGCGCCCATATTTTAAGGCTGTGATCTGGCATTGTTTTAATAAAACCTGCTGTGTTGTTGATACTTCTTGGGCTCAGCCTTTGTTACGGGTCATGGATCTGGAGGCCTCTGGATGCAGTGCAGATGCAGAGCAGAACTTACTCCCTTTTAGAATTCCTGCTGTAAAAATCTTGTTCTTTGTTAGTCCTGTGGAGTCCACCCTGTCTCACTTGCCTTGTAACCTTTTTCTGGATGTCCGTGAAACCCCTGGGGCTTGTTAATGTGGGGAGTGCTGAGTGTGGGAACCAGCTCGCTCACCGATCCCAGGCTCTTAGGAAGTGGTTCCAAACCATTCAGGGCAAGTTTGCCTGTAAGTGGTAATGTTATTGATGTGTTGACATCAAATTAATTTCTGCAAGCAGAAGTTACCAAAAGCAAAATCAAAAGCCAAATGAGGAAAATGCTGTGTTTGTGGCTCATATGATAGGAGGCTATTTTCCCTAATGGGTTAAAAGTTACTACCTCTAAACAAAGGCCGGTAAGCCAGTAGAAAAATGGACAAAGAATCTAAATAGATGACGGTTCACAGAGAAGAAAGGAATCACGGCTCTTCAGTATATGAAGGTGTTCAGCCTACCATCAGAGAAGGAAACGCCCTTAGAGACATTTTTTTTTTCCTACCTACAGATTCGGTCTTCATGTTCTAGGGCTGCTGTAACAGAGTACCACAGTCTGGGTGCCTTAAGCAGCCGACATTTATTTCTTCACAGTTCTGGAGGCTGCAAGTCGGAGATCAGGTCATCGGCGGGGTTGGCCCCTTCTGAGGCCCCTCTCCTGGCTGGTAGACGCCGGACTTCTCCGCCTTCACGCTGTGAGTGCCTGTGTCCTGATGCCCTAGAAGGATGCCAGTGGCACTGGATCAGGGCCCACCCTGATGACTTGAGTTTTAACTTAACTACCTCTTTAAAGACCCGGTCTCCGAATAGAGTTGACCCTTTGAACTGCACAGGTCCACTTATAGGTGCAGAGTTTTTACAGTTTTGTCCATGTTTTTTCCCTGAATAACCTTCTCTCCAGACATTGTAATAAGACTGCTGTGTATATTACATGTAACATGCACACTGTGCTGTTTATATTATCGGTAAGGCTTCTGGTCAGCGCCAGGCTATTCGTAGTTTTAAGTTTCTGAGGAGTTGCAAGTTATATGTGGATCTGACTGCTGGTGGGGGGGTTAGCATCTCTAATTCCTTGGTGTTCAAGGGTTGGCTGTACTAATTTTGAGGTACGGGGGGTTAGGACTTCAGCATATGAATTTGGGAGGGGGACGAAATTCAGCTTGTGACAATGACAAGAAAAAGTTTTGTTACACTGTTGGAGAAGGAAAAGGGAAATTAGCACTCATACGTTGCTGAAGGTGGTACAAACCGAGACAGGTTCTTTGAAGAGTAATTTGTTATTATTTGTTAAAATTCAAATGGATTCCTTTGACCTAAGTTTGATTTCCAGGAACTCTCCAAAATGAGAACATGTGAGGTTCTTCCTTGGCACTTGGCTCATAATAGCAAACGACTGGAAACAACTCAGCGTTGTCCATATGGCATGGGTTAGGTATGGTTAAAAAAAAGGAATTTCTTTATGGACAAATATAGAATGTTCTAAGGAGAAGCATGGTAGAGAGCAGTGCTTAGAATGATACCATCTGCAGGAAAGGGGAGAAAGCTTATAGGTATTTGTGTAGACTATTTTCTCTGAGGTTGCGCCAGATGTGTTGGTAATTTGGGGATGGAGGCTGGATAGCCCGGGTCCTGGGTGAGACGGAAGGTTCTCAGTGTATACATTTTGGTACCATTTAAATTTTGGAATGTGAATTTATTAAATAAAGGAATCATTTTCTTTCACTTATGAGAGAATTGTATCACAAGGTTGCTTATAATTTACGTTTTTTGACGTGATGTTTTAAAAATGGAATTATTCTGATTAAAATCATTCTTGTTTTAGGAACTCTTCTGATTTATTTTTCTCAGAGCGCCCCACAAGTCATGATTTGGAAGGTTTTATGAGGGCCGTGATTTCATGTCTGGGCAGTGACAGCAGTTGGTCACCGAGGACAGGGCAAGTGTGTCCCTTGAGCCAGACCATCCTTGTCAGACCTTCTTGCCTCAGGCTTATAGGGCAATAAATTTTTTTTTTCATTCCAGTGTGGAATGTGTATGAATCATTGTTCCAGATTTTATGTTGCTCAGACACTCCCATGCAGGGAAATACTATTTAGTAACTTGTTAATTGGGCCGTTTTGGTTTTACTGGGTTATTTTAAGGCATTTATGGGTTACGATGTTGATAAAGCTAATAGCACTTTGTGTTTGGTACCTTGAACTTTGCAAAGTGCTTCCACGTTCATGATCTCGTTATATTGTCAGTTGAACTTGGTGGTTTAGAAGCAGATTATTACCATCTTTTTATGGATGAGGAACTCAAAGCTTAGCTCTCTCGCAGTGAATAAGTGACAGCTTTTTCGCTGGAGGTTTCAGGGTGTGCAGTGGCTCTGCTAAGGAGGAGGGCATGAGCGCTCAGCACTGGTGGTCCAGTGATAACTTGAAGCTTTTCGACGTTGGTCGGGTAGTGCAGGGGTTTTCAGTGGGGGCGGTTCTGGCCCCCAGAAGACACGGTGATGTCTGGAGACATCGTTGGTGATCAGGACTGGGGGTATGTTACTGACATCTAGTGGGGAAAGGGCCAGGGACGCTGCTCAACACCCACCCATGCACATGGTAGCCCCCTGACAACGGAGCCTCCCCTGGCCTCAAATGTCAGCAGTGCCGAGGGTGAGAAAGCCTGACGCAAAAGCCCGTCATCCTACACTCTCCCCAGTTCGTCCATTTACTCCCTCGTGAACGTTTGCTTTAGGGTCGGTGGTGGTAGAACTTACTCGGAATCCTGACTCATGGCCAGTTTAAGAGACCTTTCCTGTCTTGTGTTGTGCGTGCGTCCTGCCTGGGAGGTGGGATGGTACCCGCCGGTGTGTTCCTGATGGGGTACAGGTTATGTGTCTCCAGATCCCACGATCTGTCCCTTCGCTCTCTTCCCGGTTTTCATAGCATCCCTGTCCTCATCCAGGTTGGGGGATAGGCCGAGTTTATTCCTAGCACCCTTGCCTTTTGGTGGGAAAGAAACCAGCAGCTGGGGTTATGGTTCGGGGATTCTAGCTAGGAGAGGGAGGAACAAAGCAGAACCCAGAGCTTTTAGGGCTCATCGGGACCATGGCGGGGAGAGTCAGCCTGTAGAAAGGGAGAGAATGAGTGAGTGCAGAGGATTGGGGCTGTGAGGAGGATGAGTGTCCAAGGGAAGGCGGCAGATAGAGTGACGGCATCAGTGATGGGACTGGGGGTCACTGGTGGAAGGGGGTGCGGTGGACAGAGAGCACTGTTGGCAGGCTGTTCTTGGACAGAGGATGAGACAGACCTCGTTCTCTGAGGCAGGAGGAAGAGTGAGGACAGACGTTTGGGCCTGGTGGACTGAGCAGGGAGGGGGATACCCTGGGTGCACGTCCTCAGGGGAGCTGCCCTGTGAGCCATGACGCGCACGGGCCAGGGCGGCCAGGACATCTCGTGGCTGGGGGAGTGGCTGTGCGGGGGTTGGTGGGCTTTGGATCTCGGTGCATCCTGGGGGCGGGGGGGGGGAGGGTGGGGGTGAGAGCAGGGTGAGTGGGCACCTGCCAGTGAGGGGCTGCTTCACCGAGACAGTCAGGAATTCGTACTACAGTTTAGTGCGAGCTCTCGGTTATTTTAAAACCAGTGTGTATTTTGTTTTGTTTTGTTTTTAAAGAGAAAGGAGATTCACTCTTGCTCCATGAATGACCTGTGGACACCTTCGTCCACCTGTCCAAACTTGTCGTCCCCCCCCCTCCCCCTCCCGGGGCTCTGTGTCAGTAGATGGCAATGCCTGGTGTCCGTCTGAGCGAGGCCAAGTCTGGAAGTGACCTTGACTCCCTGGGTGCCTCCAGGCCCTGTCACTTCTGCCTCCTCAGCGGCTCCCGATGACACCACAGCCACGCCACCTCTCCCTGGGCTCTGCAGGAGCCTGTAACTACTCTCTGGCTCCTTTCCCACCTACATCCAGGGCTCACTCCAAAGTGGCATCTGCTCTGCCCTTCACGGACTGTTAGGGGGAGTCTGAAATGTTTAGCGCAGGCTGCAAGATCGGCCTCTGTCTGCCACACCGCTGAGGTCACTCTGCACCAGGGCGCCCTCCCCTCCGGCAGGTCCTTGGTGTCCTCTCTTCTCTGCCTTACGGCTTCGTTTCTGCTGGCTGACCTGCACTTGCCCCCCTTGTCGCCTCCCTCTGCTTCGCCCCCAACCCCAGTGCCGTCTCCGCATTTGGGCTCATCTTAGACTCGGTTCTAACTCTGAGATCTGGCAGGTCCCTGCTCTACCCTCTCCTGGCATCTACTCGTGACAGCGTTTGTGGAACAGTTGTCGGAGGTCTGTCTTGGGCTCCAGAAGGCGTGCTCCCTGAGGAAAAGGCAGGTGCTCGTCCTGCTCATTGCTGCCTCCTGGTGCTGGCCCCTGGGTGAGCTGCTCTGTGGCCCTTGGGCCCCCAAGGGAGTGGGGCCTGAGGGCGGAGAGCGCAGGGCCGGTGAGTCACTGGCCCCACTTCCAGGGCCGCCTCTCCAGGGCCGGAGTGAGCTGCACACCGGTGAGCTGGAAGAGCCAGTTCAGCCCAGAGGGGTCAACCAGCAGGACCTTTTCCTGACTAGTGGTGTCAGTGGAACTGGGGGGAAAAGGCACATTAGTTATAGGCCCCTAGCCACGGTATTTAAAAGGCATGACCTAACGCTGTTCTCCCAAGTGCCCTCGGATCTGGTGGCCCTTGTGTTGGGACAGCCTTCAGACCCCAGCACGTCTGCTACCAGGAATGAGCTGGATAAAAGTGGAGGCAGGGCTGGTCTTTCACTCCCTCTTCCTCCAGAAGGTGAAGCCTTTACAATGAAAGGGTGGGGTTTTAGCCTTTCAGCTGGGGAGCACTTGGTTCGCCGCGCGTGCTGCTGTGGGTTACATGCCCCTGAGGTAGTAGGACGACATGGGTAATGGCTCACTTTATCACCCGGCATGGCTCCCTGAAAGGAGAAGAGTGACACGTTGCAAGGGTTATTTTCTGTTTCCTTGGTAGGTAGTTACCTGCTGGGCTAACCCCGCAGGGGTTTAGGAGCGTGGGGCTCTGGAAGGGCAGGCGGCTGAGGTGTGGTCACTTGTGTCTTGTTGCGGGTCAGCCCGGTCCTCTCTCGGGGAGTCCTGGTCACAGCTGGCCGCCGATGGGAATGACATGAGGGCGACGACCCTCCGAGTCCGCCTTCACACCCATGACGTCCGCAGGATGGGGGCTGGGTCAGCACTGTGACAAAGGGAACGGAAATAGAAATGTAAAGTTCCAAGTGTTTAGTAGAAAACGAATTTAAGAGTTCCCATGTTATCCAAAATGGTATCGGTCATTTCCCTGGAATAATTTATTTCTGTCAGACAGGATGCTTTTGGAATGCCTAGAAGGAGCAACACAGACATCTCTCCAGGAGCAGGGGCTCTGGAGGTCTACCTGTCATCGGGCTCGTTTACACAATGGAAGGAAGGTCAGAGAACAGTCTTTCTGGCGGGAAGTTCTCTTGAAATCAGAACGAGGGGGCGAGTGTGCCTGTTCAGAGAAGGTGCCCCATGACTGGGTGGTTACTGAGGGGGTAAAATGTTTGTATCTAGAAGGTGGATCCCAAACACCTCATTTCAGGCTTCTGGGCCCTGTCCAATCTCTGCTGAAATTGTCTTTGTTGTACTAGACGTCAAGGGCATTTAAAAGCTTGAGAAAGTGTTCTCCATGCAGTAGAACTTGGACTGTTTAGAATATCATAGAATTGACTCCGGATGTCAATTTATTTGAAATTTTACAAGGATTATATTTTACAAATGTGGTGTGTATCATTGCCTCTCTGAAGCGACGAGTATATGGTCAACACGGTTTACCCTTCCTTGACCACAGTGCGCGATCATTAACATGTACTGAGCTCGACGGTGCCGGACACTGTCCCCAGGCACTTAGTTTGCTGTTGGTGGGAAACACAGACAAGTGAATCTAAAATGAACATCAGACCAGTAGTTGCTAAAGTAAAAGTTAGCACAGGGTGTGGGGGAGGGAAGCAAGGGAGGCTTTTCCCGACTTCTGCTGAAGCGGAAGGGCTCGACCCTGAAGGGGCCAGAGAGCTCTTTCCATGCCTGCTACAGCTAGCATAAGGGATTGAGTTAGTAACGAAGCCTGCCGCTGTAAGTGCACCCATGCACACCGGGGTGTGGCGGGTGCCCAGCCCCAGTGTCACTCACGGGTTACTCTCCACCAGTAGCTGTGATGAGCGTCCACGTCACTGGTTGTCAGTCTTGCCTGCTTGCTGTGGACTGGGCACTTGGTTAGGTCAGAAGCCTGGAGAGGAAACAACTCCCTGAATCCCTCAGGTTATCAGGAGGGGTCAGGGCCCCAGGCCTGGTCTGGCTCATCCCTGAGTGCTCCCTCCCTGAGCACAGGGCGGAGGTTTGCTTGCTTGCTGCTTGGTTTTCAGGGGAGTACCGCTTTGGGATTTGTGTTGTTAAAACAAGAGCTCTGGAAGTCATGGAGTTGAGTGGCTTCAGGAGAGACGAAGGGAAAAGACAAGAGTGGACACCGGTGAGGACACAAACTCAAGACTTGGGCTGGGGCCTGCTCGTCCCTGAAAACTGTGGTGCTTTGGGGCTGTCGGAAATTGGCTGCCTTTCTACGAAACAAGGGGGCGGATGAAAGGCTGCACTGCTGTCGCCCCTCGGGAGCGTTGCCTTCCGTCAGCTTGCAGGGAGTGCTGACCTGTCCCCGGGGCTGTGTGCCCCTGACACCTTGGCGGGGGCGGGGGGCGCGGGGGGGGACGACAGACGTGTGACCGCTGCTGGCCCTGTGATGGGCTTTGGGGACTGGTTCCCAAACCCAGCTGTTCCTTAGGATCACTGACTGAGGTTGTTCGAAAGGGGAAGGCCCCCCCCACCCCCGCCCCCGCCCCCAATCCCCTCTTCAGAGATTCTGGTCCAACAGGTGCAGAACATGCTGCCTCCAAGCTTCTGATGCAGGCCTGCACAAGCCGTGAAAGCCAAATGATGTCGTGGTGGCTTTTCCTGCAAGGGACTCACTTGCACAGGCTTTTCTTGCTGTTATGTATTTGTGAACATTTCCAGTTCCAAAATAACAATGGAAAAAAAAACCCCTGAGATTATTTAAATTTTTTTCTGGTTTTTTTAAAAAATAATTTCCCTCTTTTTGTTTCTATAGGACACTAAATTGTGGATAATAATGGAATACCTTGGTGGAGGCTCCGCACTAGATCTTGTAAGTATCCCCCCCACCCCATTGCCTAAATACGCATCAAAGTTCTCAGTAAATCTTGGTTGTAAGGGTAATTCTGTTTTTATCCACTTGTGTTTCCCTCTTCAGTTGCATGAAAAGGAACAAAATATTCCTTATAATATCTGTTTCTGTTTCTAATAATATTACTGA